TCTATTTTCTGGCAATCTGTAATCTGACAGCAAAAAGTATACGCATGATTAATGTTCTGAGCATGGGAAGGACCTTTTCTATTCCAAGGTGGGCAAACGTTGGTGTAGAAGATATCGAGAAACCAGTAGCTCCCTACATTTTTACTTGTGGAAAAAGCATGAAGGAGGGTGGCACTGCCTCTCTATAGCACAGGTTACAAGGGAAGACCGAAAGACGGATGCTATATGATTAAGCGCAAGTATGCGTGTTATGGATTTTGTCTTTGGATTAAGAAATATGCTGATTAATGAATTAAAAATGACACACTGATCTTCAATAGATACAGGAGTTGCACATTTTCTTATAGTTCCAATAGAAGACAGAAGATGTTGCTAATTTATATGGCATGGGGCACCAGTGGAACTTAATTTTTATGATAATGCCCAGTGGTTGAGGTTTTGAGGTTGGATCTCATTGCTCAGGTATTGTAATGGGTAAAATGTTTTCTTCCAGCGCAGTAAAGGTACAGATTTAAGAAAGGTCAGTTTGGAATGTAAGAAGTAATAGAATAAGGTAATACTTTTTGTTAGGGGAGAGAGTGGTAAGAAAGCACCAGGATAGCATTGGTACTGATATCTGTGGATGACTATTGTGTTGTTCAAAGTAAGCTATACTTAAGTACTCCTGCTTGGGTAAAATAACATCTGACAACAAAAATAAGAATGGGGTTAGTTTTGTGGTTGTGACATCAGGTAAGATAATTTTTGTACAAGTCATTCTGAATTGAGAAAGCTGGTCGGAGGACCAGCGAAACGTCTTCAAGAAAAATACAGCAAGTCCAGTTGCCTTGATTTATTCTTTACAGATCTCTCATGATTTGATACCAACGTTGCTGTTACTGAGCGTGTATTTTCATTCCACTTATATTATTGGGCTTTTGTGTTCCACAAAGGTTTCCATTAATGTTTCTGCCTGCGTATACTTACATTTGGTGCTCACACGTGCTACTGTAATTGTACTGCATTTGTTATTTTTGAAATCTTTAATAAATACTGTTTGACCAAAATCTCCACACATTACATTTGTTTAAAAAGTAGAATTGTCTGTATTTGGGGATATGAACATTTCCCAGAGTGTAGAGAACATTATCTATATTGCAGATTAGAATAGTATATCTGCCCACTGTGTCCAAAACTGTCATCAAAGAATTATAAGGGAGTGTGTTCTTGATGGCGATCATGACTACTCTTTTTTTCAAGGCAGTACTGGCTAGATCACAGCAGGACAAATCCCGCATCATCATGGAAACGAAAAAATGCCGTCTGGTGACCTGGTCCTTGAAGTCTCTCTATGCGGCCTCATTGACCTCGATTTCATTAGTCACTACTAGGTGTATGGAGTAAAAATGGCAGATGATCAACACATCAAGTGCTACCTCATTTGTTTGTGTGTGTCTTGGTGTGAGTGTATCTTTGTGTGGTTGAATGTCTAAACACAAGGCAATTGTTATTATGTGTTACTCATTTACATGTGTGTGGGCATGTAGGGGACACTGCATCAGTTGCATTTTTGTTCACAGGGGAATCTATGCATCAGTTATGTGTTTGTGCATGTAGGGTACACTATGCATCACTTATGTGTGTGTGCACACGCAGGGGACACTGCTTCGGTTACTTGTGTGTGCACAAAGGACATATGCATCATTTACCTGTGTGCACCCCGAGGACACTATGCAGCACTGATGCATATGTCCTCTGTGGGACACTATGCAGCAGATACCTGTGTGCATCAGATACATGTGTGCGCAGGGGACACTATGCGTCGTATCAAAGTATACAGGGGAGTCAATATCACAAGCTATTGAATAACTTCACTGATCAGTAGAACAAGAGGAGACAGATAAACACCATTAGAATTTGAATAGACAGCTTGAGCCTGGAGATGGAAGGATCTCACACTTTCTAGGATCTTGGGCAGATAAGAGTGGACATCTGTGTCCCCCCAGCAGGAGACAAGGGCTGCTATACACTGGGTAATGTTTGTCCTTTTCATAGATCAGAGGAATGTATGTTTCATCTCTAATAAAAATCCAACTTATCAGTCATAGGGAGATGAAACTGATTCCCTCTGATAGTACATATTACGAGCTGCATGCCCATATAAAATTGTAAGTTTTGGGTCTATACAATCATCTAGAGACCGACAAAATAATTATATGGGACCTGCTTGAGGTAGCCATGCAATAAGTGGACTTGTTGTGATTGGGCTGATGTGCTTGTGTCGGAAATCCTAACCTCAGTCCAGGCATCAGAACCGGCGGGCCCAAATAACCTATGGCCACTTTAGAGGGCAAAACATCTCCCTGCAGGTAGGGTGACACCTACTGAGGTGATTGGTCAAAGGGCTAGAGTCCGTCCCCCATCCATATCCCAAACTGGGTAGCCTGAATTATAAACATTGTATCCAAAGACACAGCGTTTACAGATGTCCGGCGTTCTCCCACCAGCAGGATAAACAATATTTCCCACTGGCAAAGCTTTTTTTTTTCCTCCTATTTTATTTTATAACCAATAACCAAAGTTTTTGTATTTCATTTTCTTTTTACTTTTTGTACATATGTCTTATGCACTGCCCACCTAGGAATATTAAACTATAAAATTAGTAAGTGGCCCCATGTGTAATAAACTACAAGGCGCACTTATGGAGAGATTGGTCATTGTTATCAGTGTCTGTACACACTGTTGTATCCTTACTGTTAATCTATATGAAATTACCTTGTGTGATTGCAGATCTGCCAGACAGGTATCTGTGTGTGTTTGGTTTCCTAGCAGACCAGTAAGGGACAAACTGCAGGTGGTGGCAGACTACAGTAAGTTGTGTGGAGGAATCGCAGAAGTGTGTAGTAATCACTTGGCTGCTGCACAGCCCACAGGCCCCGTTCACATTGAGCGATTTATCGCGCGGTAACGATATCGCTCTCCAATGCTTCTCAATGGGGCAAATGGTCCTGCTGTCGCGGGTCGTGTGTTGCTACAGCAGGACCCTTTTTGGAGCGGATTTAGCCACGATTCAAGCTTGCTCAATGCAAGCATTTGCGCAATATCGTGCGACAAATCACGCGATATCGCGCAAAATGCAAATCGTGCGACAATCGCGCGATTTGCGAACCGCTCAATGTGAACAGGGCCTTAGAGTGCACCAGATTGCATGTAAGATTTGTATCTGTGTGTGTGTTCAGCAAGCTAATTTTGGGTGAGTCGCCTTCCAGTGGCAGGCAGTGGTATTACATGTTGTGACAATTGTTTCACAGGAGTGTTTTATCAGCCCAAAGTAAGTGTCCTCCCTGCCTCCTCATCCGTCAAACAATGACCCCGCTCCAGTTAACGAGTCACCATCGGTGGGCCCGTCCCGTGAGACTATGCATCAGATACATGTGTGTGTGTCTGCGCAAGGGACACCATGCATCGGATACACTTATGTCTGTGCACACTGGGAATTATGTATCAGTTACATGTGTGCGTAGGGAACACTATGCATTAGGCACATACAGTTTCTGTGGGGATAGTGTATGGATCTGTAACGTGCATGTATCAGGTGTGTGTGTGCATTTACTATTAAGAAACTATGTTTAAATGTCCAAAGAAAAAGGACAATAGTGATCAGGATTTGTATGGGTCTGGTTTACACGCACACTTTACTAAGTGGTTGTAAATGTGTGTAAACATGTCAGTTAAATAACATAGGGAAATGCAGATCGCCATGGCAACTGGCTATATTTTGTTGGCTCCTATGTCTCAGCGAGATTTGTCCAGCCTGGGCTGGATACTGTAGATGTGTCTTTGTGTGCTATTTTCAGGGTCCTGTGAATATTCAAATTAATTTCCTGAGTGCTTGATATATCACATTGAGTGAGCTTAGCGTCTTTCCACAACATGGATCTTTATGTAGGGATTGTTCCATTAGCAGTCATTGATGTCATTTGAAATTCCAAGTTGGAGAATGAAAGACATTCTGAAAGTTTAGGGTTGCTGTGATTCAGAATTGGGATTGTAAAGGCGGAAGTCCCTACTGAAGATATTTCCCAAGGTTTGATATAGACTATAATAAGAGAAGGATATATAAATCACATATCCAATAAGAGAAGAGGGAAATGTAGCGTACCAGGACAGACTGTGTTGAGTTGTTCATGGAAGGGATGTAGAGCGTTCATCTCCTGCAGAGGAGAAAGGTTAACACACAAACATCTGCGAATGAGAAGAGTAAAAACAGCTTGCGCGGTGCTAGAAGTAAAAAAGGGAACATTTCAAACAATGAAACCAGGATGGTATAATACCAGGGTTATTCTTGGGGAAAACATCATGGAAGTAAAATGTGACTGTTCAGTTGAATTTAGTTCAAGGCATGCCGGAGCATATCTTGTGGCGCTGATGAGTAGCTAACAGAAGGGTCTTAAGTGTCCCAACCGTTTTTCTTAGATTTGGGTGTGCTTTTTCCACTCCCATTTGGTGTAATTGTGATGTCAGGAGGCAACAGGAAGAATTACCCAATTTTTGTAGTAGTAATGCCAGGCCACCTTCCGCTATTTAATAATGTAAGTTTTGCCATTGCACATCGCAATACGTTTGACAGGGTAACCCCAGAGATAGGGGATTCTGTTGGCGCAGAAAGACTTCCTTTTTCCTGAGCAGGAATGTGTGCTGAGACAGGTTGGCATGCAAACTAATGCCTGTGAGTTGGTATGAGATTTTCTGAATATGTCTAGAGGTTTTCTCACAGGATAGAAATAAATATGTGCCAGGATATCTCTGGGTAGCTTACCTGGAAGGTGAGAGGGCTTTGGTATTCCATGCATGCCATCTACAATTAGCTCACTGGTTTTGAAGGCAGGGAGTACCTCCGCGAGCAAGGGTTGTTGTCTGTGGCCCTGTGTCCAAGCTGTTGCTGGGGTATCTCTTTCTGTAGAGGAGCAGCTGGATGGTGAGGCCTGGGATCTGCCTTACTGCCATCTTGGATGGGCCGCATGTCTGACAGAGGAAAGGATTCTGTGAGTTTTCTGGGCCGTTCCCGCTCCTTTCTCTTTTGGGACATGGTAGAGTTGCAGGTAACCGACAAACTTGGCAGGTGGGTGGTTGTCCAAGCCCCTTGTGTTCTGCTCGAGCGTGAATCTGTGCAGGGAGTTTAGCAAAAACACAGCCTTTTCAGCAGAAGGAAGTTGGCCATGCCCCCAATGTTTGCTTTTTTATTTAAAGAAGAACCCCAGAAAGAAAGTTTTATGATCTGCTGTGTAGCAAATATTTGTAATGAGGTGTATGCCCCTGTCTGGATCGCTGGCTATTATTTACAATTTACACTTTTATTCATACTCGGAAGTTTCACTTTTCCTATACTTCTGGCAATCCAACAAACAAGCTGCAATGTTGTTCTCTGTCCCTCCTCTCGTCCATTCACAGAACATTTTGTTTTCTGTGAACGCATTCACAAAATAAAAGGCACTCTGTGAATGGACAGGGGAGAGGAGGGGAAGCCAGTGTGGCTTGTGTGTAAGAGAGCTGCAGCTCTCCTGCCGAAGCACCTGAAGCATAGGGAAAGCTATACTTCCCAACGGAATCCTTGTTGTCTTTCAGATGCTCCTGGGAATTGCCAGACAATCCAAATAGTAATTTATATATTTATTCTGTGAAACCTTCATTTTCTAGAGCATATGTATGTTTGTTGAGACTTTGGGCCTTATTTATCAAACTTTTTGGTGGTAGCATTGTTTTTTTTTCCCCAATTTATTCAGATTTTTTTCCGACAATCAACAATAATAATTTACAACCACATAATTAATAATGTAATTTACAACAACATAATTATACATCCACATACATACAACTCACATTTAAGACACTGCTGTTTTTGCAATTTAGTCCATATTTTAACATTTACATTTCATGGTCAACCCTGAACGGTCTTCATATTATATTTACCAAATCTTAAATTAACTTCCCACATAGCCTATCTAACTTGCTTCACCCTCCCCGTTTATATCGTGATATTGTCTACCTCCGTATTTAGTGTTCCATATTAATTAATTTTGTATATTATTTAGGTGTTTACTCCCATATTATGTCAAAACAACAATAACAAAAAAAACTCCCTACTACATATTTATAGTGTATATTTTATAACATACCATATACTCTAGATATAAACCCTTTTTTATAGTTAGATTTTGCTACTATATGTACCGGCAGGGTATTCATAAGGCTCAACGGACATATTCGGCGCTGAGCCTCTAAGGCATGTCGTAATTGCAAGAATTTAAATAAATGAGAGTTGGGGATACCAAACTCTTCCCTCAGAGTTCGAAATGTCTTCAGGTCATCACCTTCCATCAATTGTTTAACATATTGTAAACCTTTATCCATCCAGGTATCAATGTCTGTCAACTTGTCAGCCAACTCAATCAATTCCAGATTGTACCAAATAGGTGTAAGGGAAGTACACCCCTCATGTCCCAGGACCTCCTTCATAACTTTCCATACCCTGGCCCAGTGGTGTATTTATGCTTGCCTGCTCGTGGAGGGCGGCTTGCCTGCTTGTGAAGAGGACGGATGGAGCCGGACAGCGCAGCCGACGGATGGGATTGTGACTCGAGAACGAAAAGCAGCCGGCGGCCACTTAATCGATCTCACTGCTTCCTGGGTCACAGCGGCTCTGTGACCCAGGAAGCAGTGAGATCGAGTAAGTGGCCGCCGGCTGCTTTTCGTTTTCTGAGTCACGATCCCATCCGTCGGCTGCGCTGTCCGGCTCCATCCGTCCTCCCACTCTCTTCACAAGCAGGCAAGCCGCCCTCCACTCCTACACACAGACGGGCTCCAGCTCTCCCCTCCTCTTCACAACATAGGCGTTTGACTACGGCCGCCCCCCAGTAAGGTGCCGCCCTAGGCAAACGCCTACTTTGCCTCGCGGTAAATACGCCCCTGCCCTGGCCATCAAGGAAAATGTACAATATACCGACCGTGTAGAAATAATACGTGCTTCTAACTTCTAACTGTGATATAATAGAGTATCTAGAGAATACCGAAAGTATAATTGCCTGGGCCGGATCTTCCCATATTTTTCCCCCCATCCCGCCATTTGTTGTAATTGTGCTGCTAAAAAGTACATTCTTGGGTGGGGAATGGCAATTGCCCCCCCATTATTCGGTAACTGCAGGGTTGTTAATGCTATTTGTGAATGTTGTGGTAGCATTGTTTGATAAAAAAAGAACTGACATTCTGATAAGAAAGTCTTGTTGTATAGTAGTCCTGAACCTCATGATGACGGTTATGATTAACAGGTGCCATTCTATTACAGGAGGAAGAGCAGGACAATTTGGACATAGAGGACCTTACTTCAGAGGAGCTTAGGGTTCTGGAAAGAAAATTAAAAAAGGAGCGCAAGAAGGAGGAGAAGAGGATTAAAAAGGAGAAAGAAGGTCTTGTTGAAGAGAAAAAAGAAGAGCCGCAAAAGCCTTCTGCAGCAGAACTTGCATTGAAGTACTTGGAAGGGTGAGTTGTCCAAAAGCTGTGGATATTGATAGAGGAAACAGCCTTTGTCTATAGAATCATGTCCATAAACCAAACGACATATAGTGGGGTTTCAGCCCCTAAGGATAGAGCTTTATGGCCTTAACATTATAGAATCATGTCAAACCACCTAAATCATATAGGCAGCTTTCATTCTTTTTGTGAAATAAGATAGACAGCCGTTCAGATCAGTTTAAAACTAGCAAAAAGGAAAGATACATATTGGTTAGTAAAAAGAAATACAAAAGTTACCCAGCACATACTCCAGTTGAAAAGCACAAAAACAAAACAAAATGTGGTCCCAAACTCAAAAATACATGGATTACCAACTTTTGGTTATATATAGCCAGGGCTTGAAAAATTTGATGGTGTCTCACCAGTCAGTCAACAATTTCACCAGTCAACATGACCGGACTATAGCCTTCCAATTTATGTTAACATTTTTTGGGGACAGATAGAGCTTTCTTTTGGAGGTATATAATCACCATGGGGGGGGTGTTATTTTTTTTAACTATATAATGAAAAAAATACCATAAATGTAAAAAAAAAACAAAGTTACCCTACGTTATGTTATAAAACAATTATTCTTACCCATATTTTTAGTAAAACATAAAACTCAGTGTCACGTCGGGTAAATAGACACCAAACATGTCAAGCCTTAAAATTGCGTGCGCCCACAAAAGCACAAAAAACGCCCATAGGCGACGATTAAAACGCTTTTACTGCTCATCAGTTTAGTATTATCAGTTATTAATGTCTCAAAAATTATTGATCTCACTCCGACGTTTGCGGCGATATGTAACATGTGCGGCACAATAGGCGCAATCGTTTTCGCACTTAGGCGCACCCGACTCACATCTGCGTGTGTATGTGGGGGGCAGGGACTTAAAAATTTTTTTTTCTTGTTATGCTTTATTTTTTTAATGATTCTTTAATTTTTACACAGCTTTATTGCTATTACATGGGGGGCTAAGAAGCCCCCTATGTAATAGCCAATTTACATGACAGGTCCTCTTTATGGAGACATCAGGGGTCTCCAAGACCCCTAATGTCACCTAGGGACCCCCAGAGAAGCTGATGAAGCAGAGATCGGCTTCATCAGCTTCTCTAGCTGGAGAGTGACACTGAATGCAGGAAGTGATGTATTCTACATCACTTCCTGCATTCGGGGACTGAGAGGAGATCAAAGGGAGTTTGTATACTGAACTCCCTTTGATCTCCTGTCACAGAGCCGTGCCGGTCCCGGCCCCATCGGGCACAGCGGATCTCGGAATCGGCAACGGCAGTGACAGCTGCTAATACAAGCGATCGAGCGTCTCTAGAGACACCCGATCGCTTGAATGTAAAGCTCCCGGCCGGCTGTGTAATTACAACGGCCGGCCGGGAAGCTGCTCGTCGGGCTCCACCGTCCTCTCGTCACAGACGAGTGGATTTTTCAAGCCCTGTATAATAGCAATAAAAACGACAACACCCAACATATGTCTCAACCCAAAACCATAAGAAAATTAAATTATTGTATTTTGGATCAATAACCAATCAATAAACAAAATGACCCAATTGTAGCATAGAATGTGTATAAATCTTTATTATATCATATATAAAACACACCTAAAAGCATGCAGAAACTTGCATGCCCTGGGGACTAGTAGGACTAGACTAGTATGAGACCCTCACCTGCATAAAATATTAGTTTGTATGCAACATGTCATAAGCTATACCATCACAAAGGGCATTGACACCCCAGAACATGTCAGATTGTCATACTGCAGCCAGGGCCGGATTTACTCTCTCTGCTGCCCCAAGGCCAGGTTCCTCAATATAAATGGAATACAATCTGTGATTACTCTCTTAATATATGTAATGCAGTCATAAGAATTGGCAATACTGTGTGCATGTAGGATCCATACACAACATTAAATATTGTAACCCCAGTTGCAGGTACGCAACCACCGCGATGTGATGGATTATACGCAATTGCATTTGTATGCACAACCACTGCATTAACAAAATGTATGAGGGCAAATCTGAGTGCAGTAATGCACAATTGTATGTAAATGCACAAGTGCCACAAAGGTTGGTGATCCACTCTGATGTTCCTACTTTATATAACAAGGCAATAACTGAGAAGAGGCAAACATATTAAGAGGCTGGGCTCTGGTGGGCTGCTGTACCATTAAGAAGTCCCTAAATGAGCTCTGGGTCAGACTGTCTTCTGAACCTCTCCAGCCGGCACACAACTCCTGCAGGTTGAGGATCTCCTCCTAAAGCGATGCAGTGAATATTGGATTTCAGCCTGACCACCCCAGCACCTCTCTGAAGGTCAAGCCGGCCACTCACCACTCGCTTTGAGTATCCTACTAACTGCTTAACACCGGTTTAGTGTTTAGCGTTGGGTTTTGTTCCCTTAAAGGTCCCTACCCACTTTTTTCTTTGTATGACGTTGCTATTATTGACAAGATGCCTTACACTAAAAAAGCAGGTCACTACTTGATAGCAGGAGACTTCCCTATGCAGACCTTAGGTCTCTGTTTAAGTTTGTAAGCGCATGGGCAGGCTCACTTTGTGACACATGATGGTCCTCTTACATATTACCTGTTCCTGCAGATTAACTGTGCGCTCATTGAAGCCTTCAGGTGTCCTGCAGCTAGTTATCTTAGTGTTGAGACTTTCTCCTCTGTAATAGATGTTTAGACTTTTCAGACCATCCCGCAGTCTGACCAGTATGGTCATAGGAAGTACCCTCCTCCTTTGTATTGGCCACTCCTGAGTAAGAAGAAGTGTTTTTGGAGTGCACACCTCTGAGATGGAATCTCTCCCATCATGGAAGAAGCAGTTGGCGCCTCTCCTGTGCTGGCAAAAGGAAAAATGTTCAAGTTTAATACAGGTTGTAATTGAAACTTACAAGTCGGAGGACCCAGTTGCTCCTTTTCCAGGAAGGTGCTGCTCTGGGCATCTAAAAAACAAAATGTAAGATTTCTCCGTATCATCCCTATTTAATAATTTTTATCCTGTTTCTGCAGTATGTCATACAAGGTCTACGTCCGGGGGGATCCATCTTGACATTTTTCATAACACTGGAAGAAACACACAGAGGGGAATTTATCAAAACTGGAGCAGACAAAATCTGGAACTCATAGTTCTAGCCGACCTGTGACAATGAAACTGTCACAGGTCGGGTCAGTAGATCGGGAGGTGAGCGAGCACATACCGACGTTCGCTCACCTCTCGATCCTGTCACGGCTCTCTGCCGTGACAGGGGAGGGGCTGGATTCCCCCCGCTCCGATCCGCCAGCGCTGACTGGCAGAACGGACGGGGGAGGGGGCGTGTACAGCTGGCTCTGCCTCTAGATAGGCAGAGCCAGCTGTCAGTCACGTAGCTGGGCGGATCCAGACATAATTGTCGTGATCCGCTGCGGCGTTGGCGGTATACTGTGGCGTCTCAGTATACTGAGCTTAGGACGCTAGTTTGTGTCCTCCCGTTACCCTAAGGAGAACTATGGGGAAAAGCCTTAACCCCATAGTTCTCCTTTAACTGAACAAACTGAAGAGAGAACCTGATTGGTTGCCATGGGCAACAGCTACAGATTTGTCTGCTCCAGTTTTGATAAATTCCCCTCACATACTCTACCACAAAAAAAAGAAAACCCACTGGATTCTTAGTACACACTTATGCAGACCATCCACCTATATATGAAATATCACTTCTGGGTTTTTTGTAACAGCTGATCTGGTTACAACAAAGGCTATAAAATGAAAGAAGGCTTTGCTCATTTGCTCTGGGAACACACAGACACTTTCCTGACAGTTGTTATAAATGAAGAAAATGAATAAACAAAAATTTAGCAGACTGAAGTCAATAAGGCAGGTACAATTGGGTTTTTTTACATTAAAATTCCTGAATTGTGTTGGTTGGGCTGTAAACCCCCCAAACCAGGAAAGTTTGACAAATGTAAACCATCTGCTGAGCGTTGTTTTTTTTTTAGGATATTTTAGACATCAGTATGAATTGCACAATAAGCTTGAAGATAATAGGTTACTATATAAAGACAATCTCTTGCTGCGCTATGACAGGCATGACTTAGGAGCATGCACCGAATCTCAGCGGTCCCTTATCATGCTTGGAGGTAGTGGTGAGGAAGTGTACGGAATGTACTTTTTAGGCTGAATTCCGAAATTCCTTTATAAGTCCTGAAAGATGACAAACTTCTTTCATATCTAGAAAACAGCTGGGATTCCTCACTGTTCTTTTCAAGCCCTTTAAGCACGGTAGACCATCTGTTTTGTGTTTGTGCACTGGAAACAAAGCTTTGGCTTTTATGCTCTATCCGGTTAAACAAATATAGGAATTATTATAATTACTATAACCTCTATTAAAGAGAAGGGAACTTTTGATTTTGATATTACTATCAGTTGGAGTTTACAAGTTTTTTGTATTTTGAAGGCAGCTATCACAAACCTTATGGGACCCTTATAGGAGAACTATGGGGTCAGTGTTTTTCCCCATAGTTCTCCTTAGGGTAACGGGAGGACACAAACTAGCGTCCTCCCGTTACCCTAAGCTCAGTATACCGCGAGCTACAGCTCACGGTATACTGAGACGCCGCAGCAGGAGCGGATCCCGACTTAGATGACGGGATCCGCCCAGCTGCGTGAGTGACAGCTCGCTCTGCCTATCTAGAGGCAGAGCCAGCTGTACCCGCCCCCTCCCCCGTCCGTTCCGTCAGCCAGCGCTGGCAGATCGGAGCGGGGAGAGGGGAATCCAGCCCCTCCCCCTGTCACGGCAGAAAGCCGTGACAGGATCGAGAGGTGAGCGAACCCGGTATGTGTTCGCTCACCTCCCGATCTACTGAGCCAACCTGTGACAGTCTCATTGTCACAGGTCGGCTAGAACTATGAGGTGAGTGAAAAGCACTCACCTCATAGTTCTCCTTTAAGGTGACCTTGCTGCCTGTGATGTTTGAGGGGCCCTCTCTTCCCTGAAT